GTGATGTCTAAAGGAAGCAGTCGAAAGAAAAGATGAAGTATTCAGATTGGATCACGTGTGGTATAAGATCTACTGTACAATACAGACATGGCAGTGTTAATAATTCCACATGGTCAGTGCCAGTTTCTTGGAGGAGATCATCGTGTAAGCTGAGGCGCTGTATATGTTTGTAATTTACTATTGAGAAGGAAAAACAGAAGGAGGGGAGTGTGTTTGTGTGCATGAAGCAACTAATAAAAAATCAAACACCTTATGGCTATATCTCAATTCCCACTAAAGCTTCATTTCTGCAGCCAGATCAAATTGACCGAAACATTATCTCAGTGATTTTGATCAATTATGTAAACATGCCAGGGGCTCAGCTATGTTCTGAACTGGATATGTATGGTATAAATAGGTAATTTTACAGTTCATTACAGTGGTTCAAGCAAGGTGAGGAAGTATAATGCAGGGGAAAGTCTTTAATGTGCTGCAGGTCAACTTGTCCTCAAGATATAAAGCCAAATAATGAGGTAGCTCACACTTCTACGGATGATTGTGTGGTTTTTGGATGTGGTGACACTGCAGGCACTTCTGTCTTTGGATCCAGCTCTCATTTACTCACACCTTTCATCCTGACCCATTACCTCCCATCAACTCACCGTGTATGATGCTCATGTCCTCTTCCTCACACCGAGTGAACCCTCCTACCCCAGAGTAACCATCACAGCCTTACAGCTTAACGCTTCAAAGACACTGTTGTGACACACGCTACCTCCCCAACACGATACGATTACGCCCATCATCGTCCTGACTTTAATATTTACCTGCCTCAGGTCTCATCTTCTTTTTCAGCATGAACTAATTACTAATTAGGTGATATGTCACCACTATGAGCACAGCAATGATGACTAACAGAGAAAATAAGTATGGAGGGGATTTATTTAGCCTCCATACTTATTCCTGAAATCAGATGTAGATTTCAGGAATAAGACATAGTCTTTTCCAGGCATGATGACACAACCCGTAATGATTAGCTGCTTTTAAGGATGGCAATTTACAAGAAATATGCTTTGGATGCTTTTATGCATCATTCAGGACTTGTTTAATATATCAATCCATCCAGTAATTCAATGCAGTTTGATTTGCAATGTCATCAAATCTCAGAAGAAAGTGTAAAAAAAAAAGGCATTTGTAACATTAATTAAGTCAGGAGTGCAAGAACTGGCTCCCTGCTGAGTCTCCAAGTAGATGCGTTGTAAAGTGAGAAAAACTGCAGGAGGAGCAGAGTGAGAAGAAGGCCTCAATTTTTGGACAGAAGAGTGACTGAATCTAGACGCACTGCTTCAAATTGTTCAAATCACGTTTATTTTTTAATTAAGATATCTCAGGTTGTTCATAATCTGTTTAATAATCAGTTTTTTGAATACTTTTACATTTTTACACTGAAATAAATAAATAAATAAACGGGGGTGTTTGTTTTTGCCCAGCCCACTTGAAGTTGAATTGGGCACAGATGTGCATTTGAGCTTTGGAAATAATTTGCATGTAAAACATCATTGTCTAATAAAACGTGATGCTTTGGTATAGATTTAACAACTCTACCATCTCTGCATTAGGCTTTGCTTTGATAAGCTCTCGTGCTGAAGGGTGAAATATTAGGCTTTTTCTCTTATCTTCTCTCATATACTTACTGTTAATATAGTGGACGCCTGTATTAAACATGGCTAATGTTTCAAATAATGAGGAGTGTATCTGCAAGTAATCCTTGTGTGCCGAGAATTCTTGGCTTCGGGCTGTTTTTAATGTTGTCGGCTGCTATCAGTGAGAGCAGATATCCTTAACATAGTAACATGGTCATCTCAGGCACCAAGCAGCAGCTCCTTCAACCTGCTGTTCAAACCTTCTGCTTGTAAGAGGAACTATAGATGCCTGTTTCAAAAAGCAGGTGAAATAAGGGGCTGAGTGTCTGCAATGTGGCCAATATAAAATAAACAATGAACATTTTTGCAAAGTGAGTACTTTTATATTTTAATACTATAATAAAGAAAACTAGCTAACATGTTTAAATGTAGGTGTGGATGTGAGTCTGTCGAGTAAAATGTAAACAGACTTTAGGTGAGCTGACCAAAAGGGACAGCGTCCAAAAAAACTTATGTAATGACATCTGACCCGGGTGGAGATGCTGGGCCTTCACTGCAGCTCAAACATCGTTCTGTGTTAGAGACAAAAGAATTCAAAGTGACATCTGGCATTTTCATGCTCAAACAGACCTCTTTTTTCAGTTATTTCATTGTTTTTAAGTCATGTACTTTCATGACTTCAGGAGACTTAACACGGTGTGGCATGGAATATGAAAGTGAACACAAGGTCCCTCGCTGACTGCAGGAGGAGCAAGCAAAGGCTGAATGTGCAGGAAGCACATGGTAACAGCTGACCAAAAGTAAAGCTAAAAAGTTTTTTGGGTTTTTTTTGCATGGGAGTATTTGTTATTGATTTATTTCTAATTCAAGAAGTTTTTATTTTATAAAACCAATTATTTTAAATGAGCAATAAAATCAAATACAAGGTGAAAATGAATATTCAGAGACTGCAGTCACCAATTAAACCCCACAGTCGTGTTGCATAATAGGCTTGTTTACATTTATTTTATCTGGGGCTGAGAGAATGAGTGTGCGTGGGTCTGACGAGGACTGAGTCGGTGATAATAGACAGCGTGGGAGGTAGGGCACACACACACATTTGTTTGGTAAGGTGTGGTTATGTTATATAGTTGTTTTTTGTTTGTTTGTTTTTTACTGTAACCAATGCCAAGTAGCAAATAGGGCAAGCAAAAAAAAGCATCTTAAGTTTTTCTGCGTGGAAAAAAAACCAAAACCAAAAACAAACATTGTTCAGTCCACTTCCTGATTGGGCAACACATCCCCCCGCTTTTCCAAAAATACTTACTTGAGCATTTAAAATTTGTTGTCATCTGTGGCTCAAAATAGCCTCACTGTTTGTACAAAAATTATGTAAGGTTCAAGAAAGGGGGAAAAGCCGTATAGAAATGTATTATAATCATAAAACATCTGTTGAAATAAAACACACACATCGTCTCTACCGTCTCTGCCGTCTCTACACACTGCTCCCTGAGGGCTGGATTGGTAGCTGTCCACTGCTTCACATTTAACATGAAAGCAAGATGAAATGCTTTTGTTTTACAGTTTGGGAAAAGTGCAAGGTAAAGTGTGCCTAACCCAACAACCTAGACACAAAGAATTTTATTTCCTGTCTGATTTCCATAAATATTGGACATGAAGAAATGAGCTTTAAGAGAAAGATATTGTTACAGTCCACAAAAAGGGTGATTACTGATCACGCAATGGTGAAAGTCAGGTTATAGAAATAGCAGAGGTTGATAGTTGGCTTCCTTAATGACCTTTAATTTCTCTCTCTCTTTCTCTTTGTTGTTGTTGTCTGTTAACACCATATCAAGAAATAACCCACCCGCTCCTTGTGGAACATCTGAAGATCTATTTAAAGGACTTGCTGTCCTTTTTTAAGTTGTCTAAACGTGGTAATAAGGCACAAGTTTCAGATAATCAAAGTTTAATATTAGGCTAACGTCACCAAAATATATATTTTTCTTTTTTTGTGTGAAAAAGCAGTTAACAACTAGTTAACTAATAACTAGTTGTGCCACCCTTGGCTGCAAGAGCTGCAATCAAACCTTTGTGGTGACTGGTAATGAGTCTTCTACATTGGCCCAGTCTTCTTTGAAGAATTGTAAGTCATTCAGCCTGTTTAAGATCATTCCAAAGCATCTTTCACTGGGGCACTAATTTTTATTTATATTTATTCTATTTGGTTTGTTCGTTTGTGGAGTTGTTTTGGATGACTGTCCTGCTGCAAGCCCTCTTGAACTTCAGAGCATGAACTTACGGCTGAACTTTCTTCTTCAGGATTTTCTGGTAGAGATCATAGTTTCATGAATTCACGTCCAGATCCTGAAGCAGCGAAAACCATCACACTACCACTAGCATGTCTGACTGTTTGTAAGACGTTCTTACAAACAGTAAGTGTGTTTTTGGTAAATGTGAGACGAGTCTTTTTGTTCTTTTTGGTTAGCAGAGCTTTTCTCCTTGGAACTCTCCCGTGGATGCCATTTTTGCCCAGTCTGTTTCTCATTGTTAAATATTTAACTCTGGCCCTCATTGTCGCTCACTGGCATCCCAAAGCCTTATAAATGGCTTTGCAACCCTTTCCAGACTGATAGATATCAATGACTTTAGATTGTTGACATGATATCATCATTTAAAAATGTACCTTTTATATTTATCATGTTTTTTTGGTCTAATATTAAAACTAGTTTGAAGATCTTAAACAACCTATAAATAAATGCATTTAAAAAATCTCAAACTGCGATGGATTACAGTGCTGTCATAACCGTACACTGATATTGCTTTTTACAGCTGTCCAGCTCATCTATAAGGTCAGATCACATATAAGTAAAGTGTACAATATTAAAAGAGTACGATTTAAAAACTTCTGACTTGCTGACTGTTGTAATGCTTCTCACGATAACAATAAAAAAAACAAAAACAAAATGCAGATCATATTTTGGTGGTTTTAGTCCCTCATGTGAATGTTGCTGATGAAAAAGGACAGGCTAAACAGATAAGACACAGGAATGCTGCTTTAATCATTACATTCTCAGAACTATAGGAAGGCCTTAAGACTTTTTAAATCAGACTTCCCCACCCTGCCACAAAAATCCTGCAATGGCTGTGTGACTGGGTGAAAAATGTCACCTCTGACACTAACAATATGTTTCCTGAAGAGATCACGCCTTCTGTACCTGTGAAATTACAAAAAAAAAAATCTCCTACATGTTCTCTCAGAACATGATAAATCCTAGTCTGCTACTTTCAGGAAGAATGAATGGATAAGTTCTCTAAATAAATAAAAAATAAATAAAGGTGTCACTAAAAAAAACCCTAGCACATTACAAATAGTACATAAAGAGTAAACAATATGCATTGAATTTGGCACAAAGCATTTATTATATGGATTTAAAAGACATACGCACAAATGGCAAAAAAAAAAAAAAAGCATTTAAACAGATCAATTATTTAAAAAATCCAAATCTCAGAGCATAACTGTGTACAGTCATATTTCAAAGGACATTTGTGAGCATGTTGGCCATTTCTGGAAGCGCAGTTATTAGGAGGTAGGTGTACGACCAGCATGAGTATCGATAAAAGGAAAGAAAAAAATCTCCAGGCTCGGCCTTTGACTTAATGACAATACAAAGGGCACAAATATCAAATATTTTCATGCATTTAACTGCACAAATACTGTGTACCATGCATACAAACACTTACTGAAATGACTGAAAAGCAGACTTGTCCGGCACTGCTTGATAAAGTATCTATTTGACATGTTGCGCAAAATACAGCAAGTACATGGTGGTTTGTTAGGAGCACGATGCTGCTTTCATTTGATGTTTCCTGTCAGACTTAGAAAGTCGAAGCATCCGCAACCAAAACTGCAACACTTGTAATTTGTACTATTACTATTATGTTTCTGCGACTTGCTAAAAAAGTCACATGCAGAGCAATGTTTTTTAAGTGCTAAAAGGCAAAACAAATCCCACATTTCCTTACTTTTGTTACCTTACTAACTCAGGGTTGATGTCACTCCCAGCTCGGACATCTGAGGCAAATGGAAGGCAGCATAAGGTAAACATTCAGATGAAGAATAGTGTTACAAGTGTACAGAGGTCAAATATATAAAGGCATAACCAGAATTCATTTTCTTTGTCTGCTGGGCCTTTTCATGTGTTCACAACCGTGTCCCTGTACCAAGATGGCTTTGAGTTTGATGCTCTTTGCAGAATCATGGGTCCCATTTTTAGTGTGGTTTTATGACTTGTCTGTGTTGTAGAAAAACCCGTAGTAGAAGAAAGCACTGATAGCCAGCAGAGCGACTGACAGCAACATGTTCCTCCGGTTTTCACCTCGTAACATCTCCAGCTCCTTGTCTGGAAAAGCAAAAGAAAAACTGTATAAAATATGCAGCAGCCATCACTTTCTATTTATTTTTAGTCCTCTGGCACGAGCAAAACCAGCAAATGATCTGTTGTCGCAGCCTGGGGCCAGTTTACAACATACTGAAACTATTTTTGTTTTTTTATATGGGAAAGCTGGCTCAGTCAAAACAAGACAGAAGACAAATATTTTGTATACTACACTCAAAAAGCACGACATTCTTCAGTTTCCTTAAATGTGTCATCAATAACATTTTATTTTCACCTGCTTTCTTTTTAAAATGCACCTTTCAGGATGACTAAATATGACATGTTGATTAGTTTGCTAATCAGTTTGTCAATTAACCCTTAGTGAAAACGGGACTATGTGGTCCTCGAGCGCTCAATAAATATTACAAATACACAGGAAAAGTAAGAACACACAGTGAATACACATGAACAAGAATTTTAGTATTAAGGCTCACCTAGCTTCTGCACCCTTTCATTCATGATGGTCATTTCATCCTCCAGATCTTGTCTGATTTTTTTTTAAAGAAAGAAAAAAAGGCAATATTAAGGAGAAACATCACTGTTGGGTGAAGTTTTTACATTATTTCTTTTTTTTTTTATCTCTAAGTGGCACAAGATGGCTTTTCATGAGTTCTTGCTCACTAAAGAGCCACACAGACCTGCAACTACCACAAAACAGCCACAAACAGGAAAGCCAAAGACATGCAAGAGCACATCCAACACAAATCCTTCACACCTCATGCAACAGAACAACACATTCATTTGTTCCCTTATGTTCATCGTTTATTTCAATCCCTTTTTAAAATCTATATTCTCAACTCATACACTTTATTTAGACTTCAGATTAGTGTTCAACTCATTAAAATATTGTTTTTTGTATTAATAGCTACTTTTGGTTATTTCCTTATTCACAAGGGGTTTCCAAAGCAGGAAGCTTGGCTGATTTTGACAGACACGCTTCCTGAATTCCTCAAATGTGATGGATGGGCAATTCATTTTCCCAAAGAGCCGGATGAGAAACTGGGACTGTTGTGGAGGGCTGCACCAACTGAGTTCAGCTTATTGGTGTAGCCCTCCACGAGGGGCACCAAAAGTTGATATCACTGAAAACAGGTATAATAAATAATAACGTGCTTTAAGCAGGAATAAATAACAAGTATATATTTTAACAAGGACAGTCTTGCAGGGCGTTTCCTCCACAACAGTCCCAGTCCCAAGGCCAAAGTTGTCTTGAAATACCAGTGGGAGGTATACACACTAACGTGGAGTCTTCATCATCTCCTTCAGCCTCACCTCTGCTTTTCAGAGAGCTTCTCCTTCCTGCTCCTGAACTCCGCCCTCTCTAAGTTGTCCTGGCAACGCACCCGCTGCTCCTCCAGACGATCAATCTGTAGGATTTTACAGGTGTGACACACGGAGAGGTCAACGTACAAAACACAGAGGCAGGGAGCGACCTAAACGAATGAATTTCAAGAATGTACACGGGGAAAGCTACAGCACCTATCAGACGTCAGCTAAACAGAGAGATAGATGGGAAATGTGAGAGAAACGCTAAAACACTGTACCTCGGAGGCGACGCTGATTTTCTCTCGCCTTTTCTCTTTTAGCCTTGCCATATTGTGACCAAACCGGAGAACCACAGTGCAGTGAGTCTCCTGCCTGACAGGAAAAAACCTGTGACTATGCGGAACTATTTTTCTTCTTCGTAATGTTTACGTCTTCCTTTTGACGAACCGCTCTTCGCGCACTTTGCTGCCCTCTGTCGGTGGAAAGTGACAAACACTTGGCCGCATAAACACAAATAACTCCCAACACCTGAAAGTGAAGAAAGCCAAGTCATTAAAAAAAATGCTGTCATGCTCAAATCACAATTAAACGGTTATTGTTCTCATGCCAGTATGAAGGCAACATACTGTAGTCTGCATCTGCCAAACACAGACAGGTAAAACAGAACTGAGAGAGTTGCTGCTGAGCATTGCTAATCTGATTATGTGACCTGAGAGGACAACACATGATCAGCTGAGAAAGAAAAGGGACGAGGCCAGGCAAGCTGCTCTATACTTGCTTCCTTCCTTCTAGAAAATGCCTCTATTTATAAACCGAGACCAAATATTTGCTCATCAGGTACACCTGCTGGAGCACAAATTAAGGGTGAGTCATTGTTAGACATTAGGGAATGGTTTATTAGATTATTATTGGTTTATTATTGGTTTATTAGATTTTTTTTACAAGTTACTGAACATGAGTTGTGCAAACTGCATCCCAAATCCTTCAGGACACATTTCTTCGTATTTCAGAGTAAAGAGGAGAGAATACTTGAACTGGAGACAGAGAATGCCCTTCTTCATTTAAGACTTGCAGAGGTGAGAATACTTTTGACATCTAACACACATATAGGCTCATCTTTAGCCAAAAAGTAGATTTTGATCATTTTATTCTAGTATTTTCCTGTCTGCACCTTATTTATCATGGTTTTTCATGGACCTCAAGCACAGCTTTTGTGTGCATAACTTCTTTCTTTCTTTCTTTTCTAAATTATTTTTAGTGCCAATAGGCGTTGGAGTGTGCTTGTGCACTTACTTTAAATGCATGAGGTTTATTACACCTTAGTACTCACGCTATGTGCGGGAACATTCGAATCGGTCTCTATTTGAGTGCTTTAAATGGATGGTTAACTGAATGTGTATCTAAATGGCACATTGGGACAAAATGGATCATAATTTCTATCAAGCTGTTTCATTAGTTAGGCATGTAGCTCAAATGCACCAGAATTATGTGCAAATGACTGTTACCCCCTTCACTGTACTTTACAGATCACTTCATCCTCATTTGTTTTTTTCCCTTCCACTCTCTAAGACTTAGATCCATAATTTATTGGGCAAAGGCACATTTTATTTTGTACACCACAGTACAAAGGCAAACAATGAAGAAGTGATTGAAGTGCAAACTTTCAGCTTAAATTAAGTGTTTTTACAAGAATTTGGCAGTAACTTTTTAGGACTTACAGCTATTTTTATACACAATCCACCACCTTCAGAGGCTATGAATTGGACAACCAAACATAATTTTAAATATAAGGATTCTTTTTGTTACATGGATGATGATGTTTTGCTTCTATTTGACTTCAGTTTTTTCTTCAGTAAATAAAAACCACATTCTCTCAGGTTGAAATCAGGTGAATAACTTGGCCACTAAAGCATATCATATTTCTTTGCCTTAAGGAAATCTTGGATTGCTTTTCCTTTGGATCATTATCCATTTGCTGGATAATGAGTGCTGTTCGATCAGTTTTGCAGCATTTGTCTCAATGTGAGCAGAGAGTATAGGTCTGTACACTTCATCCTGCTGCTTCTATCGGCAGTCACATTAGCAGCCCAATGTCATCACACAACTGCCAACGTGTGTGACAGATCACGCGGCGTCCTTGAGATCTTGAGCTGATTTTCTCCTTCTCCATACTTTTATGTAATCTTGGTTTCATCCGTCCAAAGAAGTTTTTCAGAACTGTGCAGACTCATTTTGATGTTTTCTGGCAAAGCCTAATCTGGCCTTGTTGTTCTTTAGTGTAACCAGTGGTGTGCACCTTGTTGTTAACCCTCTGTATTTCCATTCATTGATCGCAGACCTTAAAAATGATGTGGTAAGTTTTTCAATTCAATTCAATTTTATTTATATAGCGCCAAATCACAACAAAGTCGTCTCAAGGCGCTTCATAGATACAGAGAAAAACCCAACAATCATATGACTCCCTATGAGCAAGCACTTTGGCGACAGTGGGAAGGAAAAACTCCCTTTTAACAGGAAGAAACCTCCGGCAGAACCAGGCTCAGGGAGGGGCGGCCATCTGCTGCAACCGGTTGAATTGAATTGTTGATGTTGAACTACGTTTTAACTTCATATAAAAGAGAAATTTTGATGACTCACTTTTGCACGTTTGATTTTCAGTGTTCGGGTAGACAGCGCCGGGACCATGATGAGGGAACCAAGGCTGTGAACGATCATCAGCTTCAGAGTAGTACACGGAAGATAACCCAATCAGCCCTCATCAAGCTTCTCTCAGGGGTTCAGGTAAACATATATTGAGATGTGTGTATATGTGGTAGATAGTAACTTGGGTTCAGTTCACTTTACTTCAATTCAGTTCAATTGTTTATTTATATAGTAGCAAATTAGAAAAAAAGAAAAAAACCCAACAATCAGGCAACTCCCTGTGAGCAAACACTTTAGGATAGTGGGAAGTGGGAAGCCACGACAGGTTGGGAGTGAGAGGGGAGAGAAGAGAAAATAAATAAGAGAGCATAAAGAGACAAAACACAGACTAAGGGAGGAAGAAGACAAAGGCATGCTGCAGTGTTGTATTAACATGTGTTGAGTGAAAAGACAGTGGTGCAGTCAGCACCAGTCTGAGCTTATAGCAGCATAACTAAAGGAGGCTTTAGAGTCACCTGATGCAACCTTAACTATAAAATTTACCTTAAATCTTAAAATTAGACAGTGTCTGTCTTCTGAATCTAAATTGGAAGCTGTTTCCACAGAGGAGGAACGTGACGATGAAGGCTCTGCCTCCCGTTCTACTTTTAGAAATTCAACAATAGGATAACTTGGTGGGGCCTGATTGTTCGAGATTATGTCAGTCATGATGATCATGGATTTTAAATTCAGTTCTGGATTTGTAAAGGAACCAATGAGGAGAACCCAGAATAGGAAAAATCTGGTCTCCTTTTCTTGTCCCTGTCATTAGTCTAGCTGCAGTGTTTTGGTTTAACTGATCTGTTTAGGTCGGGTTTAGATATAACTGAGTATCATCTTCATAGCAATGAAAATATATGCAGTGTTTTCTAATATTATTGCAGAAGAGAAGCATGTATAATGTATATAGTACTGGTCCCAGCAGAGCGCCCTGTGGAACTCCATGACTGACTTCTGCATGTGAAGAAAATTCCACATTTACATGAACAAATTGGAGTCTATCAGACAGATATGATTCAAACCCCAGCAGCCCAGTTTCTTTAATGCCAATAGTTTGTTCTAATCTCTGTATTAAATTATTGTCATCGAACGCTGCCCTGATCTCTAACAGGACAAACATAGACATGAGTCCACTGTCAAAGGCTGTTTCTGTGCTACAATGTACTCTAACTCCTCAAAGAAACTATCCCTCTGCAAACTATAAGTTAGCTGTTTGAAACTTGGCTTTCAAGAAATGTTTACATTTCAGTGCTGGAGATTGGTGTATAATTAGCTAAGTCAGTTGGGTCAAGTAAAGGCTAAAGAAAAAGCTATATGTATATCCTCCTGAGAACCAGCCTATTCATTTATATCCTGTGTAATTTGTTTTTTGTCTATATCTTTTGACTTATTTGAGCTACCATACTAAGTCCTGATGTACTAAATAGAGGACATCCTGGGCTTTCCATTGATATTTCATGTGTTTGGGTGGCCTCTTTTAGCTCCAAAGAGGCAGGAAATCACAAAAAAGTTGAAGGGGAAGGTCCTTTTTTCCTCGGTTCTTAGGAGAATATGTATAGTTAGGAAGGCTTTGTGTAAACACTCCCTTCATTTGTCCACTCTGTGTGTTTGTGGCAGGCTGTGAAGCATGACCTGAGTGAGTTGTTTGCAGTGTATGTGAGTTTTGCCACCGAGTTGGAGGAGCAGAGCAAGCAGCTCCTGGAGAAAGTAGAGCAAGCCAACTCATCTCTGAACGGTCACAGTGAGGATGGATTTCAGAGTAAGTATCTGAATGGAACCTCAGGTTAATATTAAAGTAGCATCTGTAGGCAGTGACGGTGATACTTTTGGTGTTTTGAAACCTTTTTTGTTTAAAATGTGAAAACTGCAATGCATCCCGAAACAGTGAAGCAGCAGTTAGAGGAGGCACATCTTAAAGCATGTGGACTCTGACTTTAGGATTTCATTTGATTGACTAAAATTTCACATAAAATTATTTTTAGGCTGACAATAACAGTATTCAGAAGTTTAAGATGTTAAAAAGTTCTGCTGCAGATGTCACCAGCTGATCACAAAGACAGAAGGATATTAGATAATGTTCAGGTAAACCTGCCAAAAAATACGATGCTGTAAGTTGATTAAAACTAGGTGCACTTTGATATATGAATACCTTAATATCCATGTCTTTTACTGTATATTAGTGTCAGCTTTCTGAGACGATATCCTTTATATTAAAGTCCAGTCCATTTTCTCAAAGCTTCCCCAATAAAATAAAAGTATTTTCTTATAGTTTCAAATAAGGTTTAAACACAGAGACAAAGTTGTGGCCTTTCACAGTTCATTTTTACAGTCATGATAAAAATCAAATGGTATCCTTTTCAAATTCTAAGGTTTTACATATCAAAATATAATTTAAAAAAAAAAAAAAAGATTTACTGGTCTGAAGCATTTAGGTGGCATCATCCCAGCAAATTCAACCCAAAGTCAAGCTGTGCAATGATCAGAGAAACTGCAAAAAACCCAAGAGCTACAACTCAAACTCTACAGGCATCAGTTAGTATGTTAGTTGGTGTAAATGTTGGCGTTCATCTGAGGTTGTGTTGTTTACCTGATATGTAGAAGTTTAGAATTAACACAGGGTGCACTTTCTTTTTACCGTGACTGGATATGTTGCTAAAAAGAGGACAGCATGATGTTGAATATTTGTGTGATACACTGAACCTTAGTTCTGACTGAAAAATGTGCACACCATGTGCAGATTTGCAGGTTCGTGTTGCAGCCCTGGAGCACTCTCTGGAGGAAGAAAGGGAGAACTGCAGGGCAGAGAGGCGGAAGCGGAAAGAACTTCACAACACACTGGTGGTAAGAAGACAAAAATGTTAGATGATGGAATAAAAAGAAAGAGCTGCACTGAATCTTTTAATCACTGATGTTTGTTTCACTTCAGGAGCTCAGAGGGAACATTCGGGTTCACTGCAGGGTGCGTCCAGTTCTTCCTTTTGACCAGATCCAGTCCTCAACTTCCGGATCAGGGTGAGTGAACAGGCAATGCAACATGAATACACAATTAAATGAAGAAAAGTTGTTAAAAATGAGAGAACTTAAGATAACCCAGTGTTTTCTCCATCAGGTCTGCATCATCAGAGGAAGTAATCCAAGCAGTCAGTGATGTCAGTGTTGCCGACTCTTACAAATTATTTTCATTGATTGCTGCATACCTGCCTTTACTTTAATCCCTCTTTTTATTTAGGATACAGTGATGGTGAATTGCATGAAGGCGGGGATGCTGGTGCAAAACAAAATGTTTGAGTTTGAGAGGTAAAACAATATGCTGGCATCACCATACAATGGACGACATTTCCCCAATTATTTTTCAGTTGTTAGTGACTGTGGCAATGTGCACTTCTTTCAGGGTACACGGACCAGAGGATTCCCAGGAGGCTGTGTTTGAAGAAGTCAAGTCACTTCTAACATCTCTGCTGGATGGGTGAGCATGAAACTATGCGGAAAAAAAGAGCTCTATATCAAGTCAAATGTTATTCCGATGGATTAATTCAACTGTCTTCATTTAACACTCTGGTGCGTGAATGAGCGGAGCAAACTGAGCAGCATAATATGACTGCATGGCTGCGACAGTAATTGAATGTCACCTTGCTTCCTGCCTTTCAGCTATAATGTGTGTATCATGGCATATGGGCAGACAGGCAGTGGGAAGACTCACACCATGATGGGATCCCAGTTCCTGGATGAGCTCTCAGGGACACAGCAGGAGGCACAGCAGGGTATTATCCCAAAGGCTGCTGCTGAGCTCTTTCGGTGAGAGAAAAAAGGGTTGGATGTGTTTCTCAAGTCTTTTTTAGTAGTTTGATCCACAAGAAAGCATAATATCTACTTTGTTTTGCTTCTTTCCTTTCTGTTACCATGTGATGCCCAGGCTGATCTCTGAGAAGCCTGCAGAAAGTCACACAGTGGAAGTGTCAGTGATGGAGGTGTACAACAATGAGGTGTTTGACCTGCTGGCCAGGGATGAGCACAGCAATGCAGCTGGCCAGAGACGGGATGTCATCACCACCGCCTCCGGTGCCAGCCAGGTCCCCTCCCTCACATCTGAGTGAGTAGAGCCAGAGCTAAGATACAGCAGTTTATGTGGGCTTTTGTATGACTGGTCTACATACTAGAAGAGCAATATACTAGAAGGCTTTTCATAAAAATACTAAGACCAGTGTACCAATCATCATCATCACCATTCATAAAAAAGAGGGCATGTATACCGTTGGGCCCACATGGAATTACAAGCTGTCCTCCTCTGGTTTTTCAGACTTTATTTAGTTCTTGATCACACAGACAGGAATTCTGCTCTTGGCCACGTTTCTGGATGTAGTGGGCAGAGAAAAGAAGCTCAGCCCACTCCGAGCTAATCTATGAACACATGTTTATGAAGCTTTAAAAAGATAAGACGCCAGAAATTCAGCTCCGAATTGAAAAGTGGTGAAAATGAAGCTAAAGGAAAGCAAAAGGGTGACTCCTGACTCCTGATGAGCTCTCAATTGCTTGAAAGGTTTTTACCCTTAGCAACTTCATAAGACTGGAAAGTTTCACTTTTTTCAGCAGCAGAGTTGAAAAAAACGAAACAGCTTAATCCTTAAACCTTCACTATTTTCTGTTTATTGGCTAAATTAAATTAAATCTAAAATGAGTAGTGGTTGTAGTAGAACATTTTAACGTCAGCTAACAATCATTATTGCTTCACAGTAGTTTGCCTTTGCCAGCCCAACGAACACATATTTCCACCCATACAGGTCGTGCCTCATCTAAACAGAAGCCCTTAAGATAGAGGTCGCTGTTTGTGAGGTCATTTTTGATGGTCTGGATAGCTTCTTTCCCCATAATAAATAAAACAATCATTTTAAAACTGCATTTTTGTATTTATCCGGGTTATGTTTTTAATATTAAAATTTGTTTGATGATCTGAAGCGTGTAAGTGCGACAAATATGCAACAACAACAAAAATCAGGAAGTGGGGAAATACCTTTTCACAGCACTGTATATAGTGTACATGCTTCAAATATGCATGCTACAGACACATTTTCAGCCCAGCAGCAAAGCAGATCTGTGTAATCACCACCTCTCCATATCACTGGCACTATTGCTTCTCTTTGTTCACTAAAAAACAGGTTTAAATTGTCTCGTATTCCTCTAGCCATTAAACGTCTAAACACTGGTGACAGCCAGCTTGCTGCAGCAAAGCTAAGTTTGCCATGTGTTTTACCACAGACCAGCTCACTGTTGAGGATCTGTTATATAACTCAAAAATTCATGTGCCAATTATGACAACATCCATCTCTCCATCAATTTTTCTTACTAATTATTGAGGCTGGATTGAAATCACGTGATATTCCCATACACGTACATGGAACAAGCATTTCAACATAAAAGCATACAATATATGCAGACAAAGACATCCTCTAAAGCGCCCTCAGCTGTGCTACAGATGTCTCCTAGTTTGACACAAAGCCCCTGGGACCCTCACAGCTGATTGCCCAAAGCGGACAGGCACACTGGGACAGGAAGGTAATATAGAAACTAAGAAAGTGGAGCTGTCAAAGAATGCAAACAAGTCTAATCTGATTACATATGGCAGTGAAAGTTAGTAGAAAGGTTGTTGTTCCTCTAGATATTGAGTGTTTTACAATTAAATGAACAAGCATTGTTGTCGCCTTTTAAAGCTGATTGTGAATTTTTAAGAAAGCCTCTGATGTGTATCCAAGAATCCAAGAATCCAAGAATAAAACCAGCAGACTCCACAGAGCAAAGAAGAACTGCAGATTTGACTGATAATATATTAAAGAAATCTAAAAATACTGAAAACAGTTTTAGTAATGTAATCTTTTTTTTTTGTATTTTAAGGACTTTCCCTTTATGTTTTTCAGGCCCGTGAGTAATGCCTCTGAGGTGATGCAGATTATTAGCAGCGTTCTGAAGCTCAGAGCTCACTGTCCCACCCTTGTCCACGCGGACTCATCACGCTCTCACCTCATTGTGACCCTCACGGTTTCCTCCAAGAGTCCCAATGCAGTGGCCCTGGGTGAGATGCATGTCTGGGAATTCATTGAGGACCTCTTTCAGTGACCTGCCGTTCACACGTTCTTGCATCGTAACCCTTTCGCTCTTTCATTCAGCCCGCAGGCTACAGAGTGCGAAGATGGACATGCGGCGCTCCACCCAGAAAGAGTGGTGGAGTCCACGCTGTCGCCGTGCCAACCTCGCCGCCCACCACTCAGCGGACGAAACCTCTGCAAGCCCCGCGTCCTCTCCCTGCTCGACCCCGTCCCTTTCTCCCTGCCCCTCCCCGAGACACAGCATCACTCAGACTCCGTTCAGGACAAAGCTTCAGCTGGTGGACCTGGCTGGCAGCGAGTGTGCTGGTAGGTGCTCCATGCAGGAGGACATTCTTTGAAAAGGTTGGCATTCTGGGAAGTGGTTTATGGTGCAATAATTTACTGGGAAACCGGAGAATCGAGACATGACAAATCTGCCTAGTGCTTAGTTTTCCATGACTATTTTTTAGTCTGTTTGAGCTAAATATGATTAGAAGTTTCTTTTTTTCAGTCAGAGCCTGGACTAGGAACTACAAAATGATTAATCAAAAGACAGACAGGATAGAGCAGACCAGAAGATTTAGATAAATACAAAATCCACTAAGAAGACAAAAACAGCAGTAAAATTAACAATAAATTTAATAACATTTAATAAAAAATTTAAACAATTTAAAAGTTTAAAGTTTAAAAGATTTAAAAGGGTATTAACTGGTCATGAAAGCCAAGTCAAATAGATATGCTTTCAATCTTGATTTAAAGGATTGGATAGAGTCCAAGGCTCGAATAGAAGCAGGGAGGCTATTCCAAAGGTTGGGTGCAGCTGAAGCAAAGGCACGATCGCCTCTGGTCTTCAGTCTAAACTTAGGTTGGGCCAGGAGTAATTGACTTGATGATCTTAATGCACGACAAGGAGTATACAGATTGAGGAGGTCAGTGAGGTAACTGGGTGCAATGTTATTCAGGAAAACAAAAGTAAAACAATTCAGTTCAATTTCTTTTTGTTATACTGCCAAATCACAACAACTGTCACAACAGAGCGCTTTAAATTGTAAGGTAAAGCCCTACAGTAATGGAGAGGAAACCCCAACAATCAAAAAATGCCCTTTGAGCAAGCACTTGGCAAGAGTGGGAAGGAGAAGAACCAGGCTCGGGGAGGACAGCCATCTGATGTAACCAGCTCTGGCGAGGGGTGGGAGACAGGACCAAAGTTATCCTGTGAAAGACAGCCAGAGATTCTCTTTCTAGTCCCTGTCAGTACTCTCGCTGCATTATTTTGGATCAACTCAAGACTTTTGACGGTGTTTTAAGGGCATCCTGATAATAATGAATTATAATAGTCCATCCTAGAAGTAATAAATGCATGAACTAGTTTTGCAGCATCACTCTGTGGCAGGATGTTTCTAATTTTAGAGAAATTGCCCAAATGCGGGAAAGCAGTCCTGCATATTGCTATAATATGCACAGTGAAGGACACATCCTGGTTATAAGTGATTCCTCACAGTGTTACTGGAGGCCAAGATAATTCCATCCAGAAGTATGTGGTTAGACACCATGTTTCTAAGATTTTTAGGGCTGACTACAATAACCTCAGTTAGAGAGCACATTATCTAACTTTAGGCCGTCTAAATGTGTCCCAGGTATGTCTGGAGTTTCAGGTGCAGCTCTCTGGGAGTCATCATGTATAAACCGTAGTCTCTCGGCTCTGTCCGATGTCCTTGGAGCTCTGGCTGAACACAGACCACACATCCCTTACAGGAACAGCAAACTCACTCATCTGCTGCAGGATGCCATAGGTGAGTCACACACACATTATTTATTCTTTTTATGTCCAGTGACTCACTATTTCCCGTGTCCGGGTCTTCTGGAAAAGATTAACTCAGCTCCACAATAACCAAATCCAGGGTTGAAATTTGTGCCCAAAAATGACAGGAAAAACCCATCTGTCTTCCACCTTATGTACCTCTCATTTCATCCACCAGGTGGTGATGCCAAGCTGCTAGTGATGCTCTGTGTCTCCCCGACGCAGCGCTTCATCACAGAGTCCCTGCAGTCTCTTGGTTTTGGCACGCGGGCACGGCAGGTACAGAAGGAGCCACCCCGAAGAAAAAATAATAGCCTCAAAGTTAAATAAGAAAGCAAAGGAAGATCTTTAATATAGATCCTTTATGAGTCATTACAACAGATAGAAGGGCGAGTGTTATAATAGGGGCACAACATTCACCCTTATATTCTAGCCTTAACTAGTATAAGAGTATTTTTGATTTTGCAGTTATTGGAAGTTTGGTTACTTTGTGCTGGAAGCAGATCACATTTTACCCTTTCCAGAGTACTGTTTTCCTTACTAATAATTATGCAGGCATCTTTTAAGAAACATACATATTTATGCATTTACTTAGAATTTAATGTCCTAAAGTTTTCTGAAACTACTGATTCTTAGGAATGCTGTGTGCAATGACATTCTTGCAGTGCATGTGTAGTTCATGATATACAAACTTAGTACATGTGAGAAGACTTTATTAGCACTTTATTAAATTGATTAAAGCTAAAATAGAAAACATGCCAACAGCAAACGGAACTGCACTATATATGGAAAAACAAAAGCTGTTTTAATCCTAAGGCATTCTGCTGTAAATTCATTTCAACACTACCTACCCCTGCTTTGCCTTCTCTTTTGTTTTGGTTTTCCACCCCAGCATTTATGTTTACACAGTATTTATACACATTTTTGGTTACATATTAAAAATCTTTCTAAAGATTTGATGAAGTAGAAAAGTGTATCCGTATTAGAAATAAACAGCTGACATGCCTGTTCTTGTGTAATCAGTCTTAAGAATCCTATAAATAAAAAAAGACAAATCATTTAAAGTTTATGGCTCACGCTTTATATACAAATTACAGTGGGCTGTAGTTCCACTAAGCTCTCACTTCTGTGTAGATAACACAGGGGGATCCATGCACGTGCAGGTAGGGAGCTATAAAGTTATTAGCCCAATGCGACATAATGCATCAGTGTGATCCTAAAATACACACCCTAATGATTATTTGCAAATGCAGTTTCAGGTCTGTTGACTCCAGTTTAATGCTGGGAAGAAAAATCACACAATTCCCTCTGAAGTGAACCAGTTGGACATCTTCCCAGCACGAATAGAATAACACACTGTATCTGGTAATTAAATCTCTTTTTCATCAGCTCCCCTTAGTTCCACACACTCGCACTTATTAATAAGGCTTCCTCCTACCAGCAGGCTGCAAACTGCGAAATGTTGTGATTCTCTAATCCGTGCAGTCCCAAAGCTGGCATGCTATTGAGGCACGCATGTCATGTGCCACCCTGACAGGAAAACTGAAAGGCCCAAAGTGGGTTGTTTTTTTTTTTTTGTTTTATCTTTTGTTTTGTCTTTTGAAAACAGCAGGCTTAGAGGATAAAGAGTGACAGAAGAAAACAAAACTATGACTTGAACAGAAGTGAGAAGATAATAAACAAGGAAACTACAGGAGTGTTTAGGGAGGTGACAGACGAGAGGAAATGTGAAAATGAGCTGAGAGAGAAACGGGAATGAAGGAACGTAAGAGTGTGAAAGCACATGTAACTGAACTTTTACTTCAACCTTCACTCTTTATTTGCGTTATTATGTTTCTAACAGGATGAGTTTTTGTACAGCGTTCAGGATATGGATCATCTGTTGAAATTCTCCTTTACACATAGATTACCTGGAAACAGATTGATAGGTAAGAATGTGTATTTCCCAGCCGGTTGGTTAGTGTTTGTTGGAGGTGGCAGGGAGTCACTGTGAAACATGTTGCTTAAGCCCCAGCCATGCAGATCTACAGACTGGTCAGTGACCCTCCCTAACAACCACAATTTGCTAGGAAAATATATTGGTTAGTGGTTGCTTGCAGTTGCTTGGTGAAATTGGTTGCAAAAAACCCAAAAAACCTCGTTCTGAGTGCTTTGGTCTCTCAGCAGATTATGGCGAGCCAGGAAAGCCAAATATCACCAAATATCTCCTCAAACCCATCTGTTGGCTCAGCTGGCAATCAAGTTTAGCAATCAGCCTTTATTTGGTTCATGTCAGCTGGAAATATTTCCTTCAATTCCCCCCAAATACTGGAAATACCTTACAATCTCCCAAATTAAATTTGAGTTGTCTCTTTTTTCTTAATGAACAGATATTTGTAGGTTTTTCCACTATATTTAAGTATTTAATTCATGTCATAATTATAAAAGCAAAATTGCACCAGCTTAATGAAAGGAGCAACTCGTCTCTAAAAGCAACTGGTTCGAGGTCTTGGCCATGATCCAGTTACTTGTGAATAAATCTGCACTTTTGGAGGTTTAGGGGCCGCTGCTCTTATTAATTTCATTTTTAATCTGTGTAGCACACTGAGAAATCATGGCTTGTGTTCAACCGTAATCAAATTAAGCTAACTCGGTTATTGTTTTACAGAGAACAGGACTCCGATCAAGCAACCTCAACAACAACAACAACAAACCCTGAAACATAACATTAGATTTTTATTAATTCAAGCAAACTGTTACAGTAAACAGTTACATAAGTTACATGGTATACAGTATTGATCCAATCTTTTTTTTCCTCCTTTCAACTCCCTCCCCCCCAGCCAAACATAGAAACAGCGAATTCATACAAGCGCAGGCAAGTAAGTAGTAACAGCACAATACATTCATCAACTCAACGATACGTTTTGTACGAACAATAAGGCAAGTAGAAGAAAAAAACAAAACGAACGAACGGAAAAGGATGGCAGACATTTCCTTTCAAATGAGCCAAAACAAGGCAGAATGTAAGCTTCTTGTCTTACGCCTCAAACGGCAGTACTACGCACAGCTGTAGTCCCAAACGAGGTAAGGCTTCCCGTTAGTGAGCAGTTAAACAGTAAAAGGGGATCTGAGAGAAAAGCTGCCATCAGTGACGTTGACTGGTTTGCATCTGGTGTCAGTCAGATTCCCAAAACTCGAAAAAGTTTCTCTCTGTACGCTGTATTTTTTTAAAAATTTTTTTAATAAATCAGGGATAATAAGAGAGGCAGGAATTCTGATGTTTATCTACAGAATCAAGTTGCTTCCACCGTCCATTTCTGCGGCAACGAGCGTGAGAAAATGAAGGGAGCTCGATATAAACAATGGCTTAGTGTTTCTCTTTGACAGCGCCTGATGTCAACAATAGCAGAAATGGCTCCTCTGAACCCAGACAGCTCAGTATCTAGGCATACATTTCCCTGGGGTAAAGGTTAAATGTAAGTGGATGGATATGCACACATGTGACCAAAGCAGCCATATGGTTTCCCCCATCATTTCAGCCATACAATAATTATCACATGACACAGCAACACAATCTTTTGCTTGTCCTTAGTGGTAAAGTCATTCCTGATAACAAAAAAAAAAGTGTGTGGGGTGGGGGGGGGGGGGTGGGGGTGACGACAACCCAGCCTGTGGTCAGGGTTTGATACTACTGGCCTGTTAAAACAAGTGTTTCAGTTGTACTAGGTAAATAAAAGATGATTAAAATAGAGCAGCATTCACTCAATGCCATGTTCAGCAAAACCATATTGGAGAACTAAAGATAGATGCAACAAGCCTTCATTTGTTCTTTTCAAATTTCTTCTTTGTTTTTGTTTTTCCCCAACATCAAGGTACAGATAAGAAACGAAAACAAGTGGCTCTTCAAAAAAAGTTATCTTCGTGTATACCAATAGTAAACATGAGGGATTTCATCACAAGAAATCCAGCCGAAACAAAGTCGCGTGGTAGGTGCAGAAGAATGAATTCGATAAAAGAGAGAGAGAGAGAAAAACGACTCTTGGAACACTAGAAAGACCGACAACGGCGACGTGGAGTCCCTCCACTGAACACAAACCACAACCAGACAGACATATGACAAGATATAAACAAAAAAAAAAACAAAAAAGAGAGAGGAAAGATGGTCGTAACGGTGTTTCGGTTCTTTGATGTCGAGGTGTGGAGTGCAGGGATGCGATACTGCTGGAGGGTGGGGCACCTCCATGCTCCCGGTATTCCTTCTGTTCTCTCCCTCGCCGCCGTCATTCCATCCAGTCTCCTTCGTCAAACTCGGACTCGTCCTCGGAGTCGGAGTATTCCACGGCGATGCGGCGTGACAGGATGGTGGCCACATCATTACCCACTCGCTCGTGCTTAGCCTCTTGTTCTCGCTGCTCCTCCACTTTTCGCAGCTGTATGCCTGCAGCAGGGAAACAGAGAAAGATGATTACATATCATTGCTCCTGAAATTCCCGATTAGGATTATAACGACTACAGCAACAATAACTTGGATATAGATGAGTATTTATCCTGCTTTATTAAAATGTATTTATGTGAAATATTAAAAACTGGTCTCCGATTTGATTAATCTCAATGAAGCTGGATCTTCTAGACACAGCGTGACACTGAGTGCAGCACCTGCTCCCACTTGCTATTTAAATCTGTTTGCAAGTGCCAGCCAATCAGAAGAAAGCTTGCTTAAAGGGAGGGGTAAGAGAGCTAAGAATGAGAGGCTTGTTTTATACAGTAGATGAAACTGAATGCAAAGCTAATCTAATAGAGACCAAGCTAGGTGTTCTTTTCTCTAACCATTTAGTGTGAAAAATGAATCCTATGGTCCTAGAAGAGTAATGAAAAGGGCGGTAAACAAAAGAGTGGCATCTTCAAAGTTATTTCACGGCCTTCTTTTACAGATTTACAAAAATACAGTTATCTATGATGTAAGACGAGAAAAGCAGCAAAGATTGGAGGAAGTTTTGCTTCAAGACAGGCTTAAAAATATCTGAATATATTCTCTTATCATCACATGCAGAGCTGACATTACACAATCTTTTCAAGATTTGGAGGCAGTTAAGCTGCTACTATGAAAAAGTGGTCACAACATGGTTTTAAAGAACTATTTGCACATGCATTTACAAACACTTCACCTTTTCTGATAGCCTCCAACAGGACGCTGCGTGCATCGCTGATGGGTGGCAGATTGGCTGGATGGTGCCTCTTGGTCCCCACGTCGTGGACGGCGTGGGGGGGAGGGGAGGCCATGGCTCCTGCTGAAGGGAAGGCGGGCACAGGTGGTGGCCCTGATAGGCACGGTGATGAGCTCCGCGCTCCTGGGAGGGGCAGGGGAGGTGGTGGCGGTGGAGGAGGCAGGATGGTGCTGTCTGACTGAATACCAGAACCCGCGGATGGACCTTTGTCCAGGACCTGCTGGAAACGAGCTGGAGATGAGGAGTGGAGGGGAGGTGCCACGGGTGGAGGGGCTGGATGGAGAACACCCGGGGCTATCTGGAGGGGAGCGGGGGGAGGCGGGATGGCTGGGGGATGCTGCTGGACTGGTAGAGGAGGAATAGGAGGAGGAGTGCCGCGCAAGCCTGTGGAGGGTAAGGGTGGAGGAGGAGGGGGCAGAGGGGGAGGCGGAGGAGGAGGAGTGTTGGAGTTGTGGCCTGCTGTCCGGGCTGGAGACTGGGGTCTGCTGTCGGAAAAGCCCGAGCTGGAGCTGGAGGGAAGAAGAAACACGAATGAGGTGGAGGCAGTGGTGGTGCACTGCTGCGGCTCTTTAAGCCTTTCAGAGTATCTGAGAAAACGCTCACCAACAGGTAAAAAGGAGGCTGGACTTTGGTCACCATGTGCTTCATGTGCAAAATTTGAGAGATAATTGAGGTAACTTCAACTTTTTCCACTTGGGAAGATTGTTATATGCCATAAATTCTCTCAAAACAACACCCACCAAAACAGCTTGTATATACATGTGCACTTCAGTTACTAGTTATTTTTTTTAATTAATAGTCTGACAAAATATATGAAAACTGTATATAGCGATAGAGGTTATGAAATGTAAACATGCCAAAATATTATGGTTCCAGCTGTCTGCAAATTGTCTAGTTTTCCTTTGGTAATCTTGATCATTTAAAAGTGCATTGAACAAGTGTATGCAGACGAGATCAAGATGATCTGGTGAAGTTCAATCTGAGCATTAGAATGGGGAAGAGAGGAGAGAGGATATCTGGTACGAGGAGAACAGTTTAACAAAAAAAAAACCATTGAACTAGCAGCTTAGTCAAGCCTCAAAATTGACTAATATTTGCTCCACATTTTGCAGCGCTGAGTGTGATCAGCAGAAGAGCACATTCCACCTGGCAGGGACAGTCTAACACCAGGCTTTGCATTTTCCCAATTAAACTTTCTATGAAACTAATTTGACTCAGACTGCGAAAGAAGAACATAGCTGCTTATTTATATCCATGACATCCACCTTTTTAGCCTCAGACCATCTGTAGCACATCATGCATAATAAAACCCCCCCATAACTCCAAAATTATCTCTATCATCTGTCTGAATTTTTAAATCTGTCACCGACAAATGCACGTGTGCCAAGTAAAACGGAAAGCCTGACTATTGTAACGACAGAAACTGCCTGTTCACAAAAGGTGCATGTCAAGAGCCGAGTTTGTTTCGTTCTTATCTTTTCAATTAAAAATGTGCAGCAATGCGTCAGAAGCAGCTGCTGGGAGTGTGGAAGTAACCATAAATACAGCTGCTTTGTGAAACTGCAGAGTTGTCACAGGAGCATGGATAGAGTGACGAGGCCAAAGTATTTCCACTTCACTGTCAGTTCAATAAATTAGAGGTTAAAGATCACCGAGCAACCGGCTTATTGTAACTTGCACATTAAAGACAAGAGTGTGAATAACAGTGGCCGTTCACTGATGCCGAACCTGCGGGGGTTGGTACACCGCTAACACTGCGACACAGAGGAATGTGTCCACAATCAATCCTCCTCCTGTGGTGAAGGAGAAGGGAAAAAAAGGCACAGCAGGAGGAAGAGAAGACGGAGGAAAAAATAAAGTGTGGAGTGTTTCCTCTCAGGACAGCAGCGCTACTTAATGTGCTGTAGTAAAGGAAAGTTTTCAGAGGAGGTGAAGCGAGAAAATGAGATACAATGGAACATGGTGACGGAAACTTTTAAAATGGCAAAAAAAAAGGAAAATCAGCACGAATTAAAGGTCAGAATAAAGTAAATAAAAGAGCAAGAGGAGAAGGCAGATGCAAGGGCAAGTGCAAAAAAAAAACAAAAAAAAGAAAAGAAAAATCAATGCAAGATTTCTCCAGTGTTACCTTAATCATTCCCTCTGATCTCTTCATCCTTTCAAAAACAGCTACATAAGTGGCCAATATGTGCAGCAGAAAAACAACCTGTAATATGTTCAGTGGCCTTAACACACAGCTGATCCTGCCCTTCAACAAGCCTTTTTCTTATTTTACTTCATCTTTGTTCCACACACTCTCAAACCACACATTCATCAACCTCTTCAGAACCAGTAATTGAAGGTCGGTCTATGATACTGACGGATGTGTATGAGAAAATGAGATAAACAAG